GCAGTCCTCGCCTTCCTTGTCCCGTGTCCACAAGGACTGTTTCCCTTCGCTGGGGAACTAGAGGGATGAGCCCCGCCCCCCCAGCCGCCTTCGTGACCCTTGGGTGGTCAGGATGAGATTGCGAGTGAAGGAGACATGAGTTCGGGTTCTTGCGGAAGGCCTGGGACCCGCGAGGGGGCCTGTGTGACGGGGGGGGAGGGGGGAGGCGCGACCCTGCCCGAGGGGCCCAGAGCCTGGGGAAGGGGCTCAGCCACAGGGACTGAGCCCCATCCCCTCCACAGGGTGGGGGTCCCGGATGGGTGGGGATGGGGGGCCCCAGGCGGGTTCGGCTGAGGCTCTGAGCCCCTGCCTCACAGGAGCGGGCTGGGATCCGAGCGGCGGCCATGGCATTGTTCGGGGACCTGGTGGCAGCCATGGTGGACAGGGAGCTAAGGGGCCTGCGGACCCAGGTACACCAGAGCATGGTGCCCCTGCTCCTGCACCTGAAGGACTGCTGTCCGGCCGTCGTCACGGTCAGTGCCTGCTGAGGGGCTTTCTCCTGGGTGGGGCTGGGGGTGGGGGCCAGGGCTGAGGCTCTGCAGGTGGCAGCAGGGCCGCCCGAGGGCAGGGCTGCTCCCTGGGGCAGCAGTGTGGACCCAGGGTGTTTTCCCTGGTGGACTGAGGTGCACCCTGCGCGCGCGCACGCACACACACACACGCACACGCACACACACACCCGTGCACACGCGCAGCTGTGCGGTCCGTGGGGGCAGGACCCAGCCTGTTGCGCTCACTGCGGTGTCCCCAGCACCGGACACAGGCTGGAGGCTCGGGTCGTTCACTGAACGTAGTGAAATGATCAAGCTTCCCTAGGCGCCAGCCGTGCCCTGTGCTGAGGCCAGTAAGACACAGCCCGGCTCCCCGGGACCCTGGCCATCAGGAAGACAGGCAACACGCGGCCAGTGTCAAAAGGAATGGGGCCAGCCTGGGGCAGGAGTGAGGGCTGGCCCGGGGGAGGAGGGCGGGCTGAGAGTACAGCCTTGGAGGGCAGCATCAGGCCTCAGACCCCACGTGAAGCTCGTGGTCTGGGGAGGGGACAGCCCTCTGGCGCGGAGCGCCCGGGCGGCCGGTGACCCCTGCTCTGGCCGCCCCTGCAGCAGGCCAAGTTTGCCCTGTACCGCTGCGCCATGCTGCTCCGGTGGCCACTTCGGCACACCCTGTTCTGCACGCTGGCCTGGGAGAGGGGCCTCAGTGCCCGCCACTTCCTCTGGACCTGCCTGGTGAGGGGCCTGGGCGCAGGGACCCACTGCCGTGGCGGGGGAGGCCGGGCGGGGTAGCTGGGGCCAGGGGCCAGGCTCGCTGCTCCAGCGCTCACCGCACACCCAGCCCCAGGGGCCGCAGGGGTGGGGCCGGGCTGGGAAGGGGTCCGCAGTCCAGCCAGCATGGCGTGCTGTCCTCCGGCCAGATGACCCACAGCCAGGAGGAGTTTGGCATCCACTTGGCGCAGGCCCTCAGCTCCCTGCACAGCCGCCACCACCACATCAAGACCTGGGCAGCGCTCTTCATAGGTGAGTGGGGGCGGCCGGGCTCCGGGACCCTCCAGGCCTGCCCTGCCCCAGCACCCTGACCCTCACCTGCCAGGCCACCGCAACGGAGGGCAGAGAGGAGGAGGGGTGGAGGGCGAGGGGCCCCGGACGGGCGGGAGAGGGTCTGAGCCCCCACCTGCCAGCAAGCCCCCTGCCACCGGCCGGTGCCTCCATGTGTCGCACAGGTTACACCATCTGCTACCACCCCCAGGCCGTGTCCCAGATGGTGAACAGTGTCGACACAAACCTGCTGTTCTCTAGTAAGCAACCCCACGTCCCCCCACCTCGAGTGTGAGATGGGGGCTCACACCCACTCACGCCACCTGAGGCTCCCAAAAGTGAGGGGCAAGGAAGAGGTGGGGTTGGGGAGGGCAGCACCCCAGGCCCGGGAGGCAGAGGAGGTGGGATCTGGGTGACGTCCCGCTGCTGCCCCCACCCCTGCTGGAAGGAGGGTCCCGGACCCCAGGCTCCCTCCACCAGGACAGGGCTGTGGGCAGACGGGACCCCGGGTCACCTCCGACTTGTGTCTCCCCCCCTGGAGCTTTCGAAGACCTCAAAAAAGACCCAGAGCCCGGCCTCCGGGAATTTGCCAGCAGACAGTTCTCCTTCCTCCAGAAGGTGGCAGCCAGGCCGCAGTGACCTCCAGCCGTCCTCCCTCACCCCCCTCTCCGTCCCCTGTGCCCACCGAATCGGTCAGCCCCACCCTGTCCACCTAGAGCTTGGTTGCGTAACATTTTTCCATTTGAAAGAAAGATCTAGATTCAACAAAGAAGCATCACACCTGTCTGCTCCTTGCCCACCACCGCATGGCCCCAGAAGACTGAGGAAAGCCCAGGGGACAGGAGGCAGGCCAGGTCTCCCAGAGACCAACTGTGAAGTCTGGGCAGGGTCCCGCAAACGCAGCTGTGGAGGTCAGGGGGAGTCCACCTGACCAGAGCCCACAGCATGGCCTGCCGGCGTCCTGAGCGCCGAGAAGGCCCTCCAAGGGCAGCCACAGGGGGATGCAGCCATTCGCCAGGACTCTCCCCACACCTGAGTCTTCGGTTTGTCTCTGGCTTGGAGCTCTAGAGTCGCCAAGTGGCGGGCCTCCCTCAGTCAGGCCAGGGGACTCCAGGTCTCCTTCCACCCTGACCCCTAACCTCGTGGGCACCTGAGGTTCGCAGCAGACCCAGCCTGGGCCGGAGCCAGACCTTCCCGGTGGGGCCCGGATGAGCTGTGTGGCCTCAGGTGACGGTCTCTGCCCGCTCCGCCTCAGCTACTCCATCTGTAAAATGGGTCGTAAGACCTTCCTCCCGAGAGCCCTCGCAGGGCTGAGTCCAGAGAAGGTCCCTCCCTGGCAGGGGACCCCCCCCTCCCACGCAGCCACCTGGAGGCCCGCCTGACCTTCAGCCGGGTCCTCCCTTCTCAGCCTTGGTTTCCCCACATGTGAAATGGGCAGATGGGTCTTTCCCTTGCCTGCTGAAGTTCTTCCTAGGGCCTCACCCCCAGGCCGTCCCTCTCAGGACCCGTGCCAGCCGGCCCCTCACCAGCTTATCCGTCATGTGCGCACACTGACCCCTCCACACCTGTGCTCAGGAAGCTCTTTCCACCTGGAGCACCTTCCGCACTCTCTCCCAGCTGGGGGACTCCACACTGCCCCTCCTCCGAGGACGAGCCCCACCAGAGGAAGCCCTCACCCCAACCCCTCCTCAGCCCCAGCGCCTGAGCCACCCCTCCCTTGCACCAGACACACTCCAGGCTTTCACCCCACCCCACCCCCCAGAGACTGTAAGCCCCTTGGGGGAGGGAGGCAGCTGGCACAGGGGAGACCTGCCACTTGGATGGTGGGTTGAAAAAATACAGCAACCTTCATGGAGCACGAATTTGCTTCTCAGATGGGTTTCATTTGGTCGAGCTGGGGGCCCCCTCTCCCCCTGGGAGCCGAGAGAGGTCCAGGATCCGCAGCCTCTCCTTCTTATCCGTCTGTCCATCTCTGAATAGAGCCACCCGAGGACTTTGGGGGGGGTGCCTTTTCCCGACTCCCATCCTGCGCACTGACCTCCATGGTACTCCAACCCCCTGGCTGGGGCATGGGGGATGTGCTCCTTCAGAACCAAGGAGTGGGTTAACTGGGTCCCCTTGGTCCAGCCTGGTGGCTGTGGTCCCTAAAAGGACCCCTAAAAGGGGGGCATCATCCTCTGGCCCCTGCTGGGCAGTGGGCAGGCAGGCCTCCTCCACACTCTGCTCTGGGAAGGCTGGTTCAGTGAAAGCTTGGAGCTGGTGGGCCTGGCCCCAGTGGGTTCCTGGAGCCGCCAGTGATGTGACAGATAAGCCTTGCGTCTGGAATCGCAGAGGGGCCCAACTCCTACCTAGCAGGGCAGCTGGGCTCTATGGAGCCGGGCACACAGAGGGCACCCCATTAATGGTACCAGTGGTAACAGCTCAGGGCCAGGCCCCCTGCCGCAGCCTGGGAGACAGAGGGACGGGCCTGTGTCCCCGTTGGCCAACCCCCAGGGCCCCGAGGAAGGGGCGGCTCACACAGCCGCTCCCCCCGCCAGAGCCATCCGTGCAAGTACTAGCAGAATGGGCCCAGGCAAGGGCACCTGCCTCCAAGCACAAGACTCTGTGCCAAGGCCCGGCCCCTGCCCTTCCTGGGCACGCCTCCTCCCCTGGGAAAAACAGAAGGGGTGACAACCAGGTGGCTAGGGGAGCCCCTCCCCACAGACCTTTCCCAGAGTGTGTGTAGGGTGCAGGCGGAGGGAGGGGGGCTCAGGCCATGGAGATGCAGGTGGCAGGTGGGGATGCCAGGCCCGGAGCTGTGACTCCTAAGAAAGGCGCTGGGCCCCAGTGACCAGGAGGAATGCCATCAGTGAAGGCCTCTGGGTGGTGTCCACAGCTGGGTCACAGTGCCTGGGGGGGGGGCTCTGGCACAGACCACCCCCCAGCCTTTCCACATGCCAGCCGGGCCAGCCCTGGGCTCCCTCCTCCTGGCTGCACCCTCTCACAGGGAAGCGCCGGCCCCCAGCTCTGGGAGACCTGCTTGCGGAGGCACGTGAGCATGGCACTGCACACCCCCAGGCAGGACTGAGCGGCCACCCCACTAGACACAAGGCCCTAAAGAATTACCAAGTGAGCCCCAGCCTGTCCTGCAGAGGGGCGACACTGGTGACCTGGCCCTGCCTTCTGATGCCCCAGCCACCCCCCCCAAAAAAAATGGCAAGTCACCTGGGCCCGCACAGGTCACATGGGAGTGGTGCGAGCTCTGCTACGTCAGGGATGTCCCCTGCCCCTAATCCAGGGAGTGTGGGGACCCAGCATGGACGCCAGGGGGAGTCCTAGTGCAGCCGGCCGGAGGGCCTCCCTGGGCTCCACCCAGTCTCCCAAGCCGCTGTTCCCCCCCGCCGTCCACCCCATCCGCCCCGCCAGGCCCCGCACCCCGCTCTCCAGACACACAGCCACGGGGTCCTGTTTTATTGCCTTCGAGCGCCCAGGACATCTGACGGTCTCCAGACCCAATAACTGAAAGTGCCAAGAACAGGTCAGGGCAAGAGGCCGTGGAGGAAGGGTCAGGTCCAGTGGCTGAAAAATACACCTGCTCCCTGGCAGATGAGCCTGAGAGGAAAGCTGCCCGGGGGTCCCTGTGGGCGGGCAGGGGCAAGAGGGCCCCCACTAAGCCTCAGAGAGACAGGGCCGTGGGGACAAAGGGAAGCGGGAGTCCCCAGAGCTGCGGACTCAGGCACATGGAGACACGCGGGGGGAGACAGGGGAAGGGGCCGGCACAGGCAGGGCACGCAGGGCGAGCTGGACCCGGTGGACGGGGGGTGCCGAGGGCCCGGGAGAGAAGGCGAGCCGGCGGCAGCGGGGCACAGGGTCCCTGCTCGGAGCCCCTGGGCTACATGACACAGCACTTGGTCTTGTGCGCATGCGGCTCCTTGAACCGCAGCCTCTGCTTAGGCCGGTATTTCTCCAGGTAGGTGAGCTGCTTGCTGTTGATGGCTCCACGCCGCTTCCTGGGGAGACGGGACGGGTGGGCTCAGGCGGGACGGTGCGGCACCCCCAGCCTATTCCACTGCGGGCATCACCCTTCCCCTACCTGCTGTCACGGCCGCTGGTCCTCAGTTCCCCTTACTATCACCTCCTCCAGGCACCCCCCACAGCGCCCACCCTCCCAAGGCCCCCTGGTTTACCCGGGTGCCACCCCACCCCCAGGCCACGGGCTCCTACGGGGCCACAGGGTAGAGCCTGGGCATCTCTGCAGCCCAGGAGGGAGGGAGGAAGGGGGGTCCTCAGGTGACAGGTGACAGGATGCCCTTCAGGAGGTCATCCGTCCCCACCCACCCGGGACCTCAGGCGTAGCCTGGACTTGCTCTGGCCAATGAAGTGAGAGTGGAAGGGACACGTGTCTGCCAGGCAAGGCTTCCAGGGCGCCTCCGGCCCCGAGACTGGCAACACTGGAGGAGGGCTGCCCACCAAGGGCCCCAGGGTCCCTGAGCGGATACCCCACTTCACCGCGTCCAAGGGTCATCCGAGTGAGGGACCAGTCTGAGCTGTGCTCGTTGCTGGGGTCTGGACCTGCCCCCGGCACTGCAGCCTGTGCTCATCCCAGCCACGGAGCTGGGAGCCCCTCCTCACTCACACCTCCCGGCACCAGGAGCCACACACAGGCACCAGTCCTCGCCCGGGCAGGCGGCCTGGCTACGGGGCCCACACGAGTGTGCCGGTACCCCAGCGTGAGGCTGCACGGGACTGGGGACATCTCTGAGGTCACCCTGTGGCCAGGGGTCAGGAGTGCCCGCTAGAAAGACACTGGGCCCGACGGGGGGGTGCAGAATAAGGGCCCCCTAAACCCAGACCCTCAAGCGCACACCAACTGCCCTCCGCCCCCACCCTCACCGGTCACTCACTGTCGGATGAACTGGATGGCATCTTCATACTTCATCCCGCTCTCGATGAGAGCCAGTGCCACGAGGACCGGGGCCCTGGGGGCAGATGCAGGGCTGGGTCACCAAGCCTCAACACCCCTGCCCCTTCCCCTGACGGGTCGTCGCTGAAGGCACAGGGTGATGCCTTCACCCTCACACCCACCAAAAAGCTGCCCAGGCTACCCCAGTGCAGCCCCCTCCCCCACGGAGGGCACAGGTGTTAGCTCACCCCGACCACCTGCTGCGTGGCCCCAGGAGGGCCAGGCACCCTCTCTGTGCCTCAGGCCCCCCGGGGACAAGCGCGCTAGAGAGTCAGAGGGAGGGCAGCTGCTGGGGGTGTGTCTGGCCATCAACCTCGCTTGCCAGTGTTTGGCCTGAAACTGGGGGTGCACTGCCCGGGTCACTCCGTCACACCTGGCTGTAGGGAGTCTTTGTGTCTGGGGGACGGGCTGGCAGCTCCTCCCAGCTTGAGTACAGGGACCACGTTGCAACCCAGCAGCAGGAAGTGGGGTCACGCTTGGGGAAGAACTGCTTCCCTGTGGTCACGTGACGGGGGCCCAGCACCCACGTGCAAGAGCATGGCGGGCCACGGGATCCTGAGGCCCGGCCAGCCCCACCCGGCCCCCCAGCTCACCGTCCCAGGCCAGCCACACAGTGAACGGCCACACAGCTGCCGGGGTCATCACAAAACTTGGCCTTCAGCAGGCTCAGCCAATCCTCCACCACTTTCCCAGGCGGGGGCGCCCCGTCGTCAAACGGCCAGTCCTGCGGAGGGCAGAAGCCCGTGAGACTGGGGGGCCCGGGCCGGTCAGCCCCCGGCCGGGACAAGGTCGGCATTCTGAGAAGCACACAGAGGGATCCCACGAGGGTGAGAGACAGCAGGCCCCGGAGGGCAGAGAGCTGGCCAGGCATGCGGTCCCCACTTCGAGGCTCCTTTTCCTCTTCTGCTTACGTCCACCGTCCCCTTCTCCAGGAAGCCCTCCCGAACACCCCGCCCTCTTCTTTGCTGAGCACAAGTGAGCCCTACGTCCCCTCCCGGCCAGCCTGTGCTGTGACTCCAGGGTCACGGCCTGACCCTTACCAACCTGAGTGTTTCTGGGTCAGCAGGCCCAAGGAGTCTGGGCTGCAAGCATGGCCGACACGTGCCTCTTCCTGTCCCCAGCCCCCAGCCCAGCTGCACAAAGCAGGCCCGGCCCGGTTACTGACCGGGAAGGAGTGAAGGAAGGGCACTAGGGTGAGCCCCATTGTTCTGAGCAGTGGATTCCAGAGTTACAGCTGGGACCTCTCCAGACATTCGGAGATTCATTCGGTTTTGAAAACTTAGCTGTGCGGCCCACCTCCGCAAGCACTCTGGAAGAGGAGAGGCAAGCCTGCGGGGTAAGCCCAGCCCCGGTCACTGCCCCGAGGACCGAGATGCCAAGTCCGGGTGAAGGAGACTCAGGCGGGGCAGAGGGGGACTGCTCCAAGCCAGAGTCCACACGGGCCCACCGAGGCTGACGGGGAGGCGGGTCCCCAAGGGAGAGCTAATATCTAAGGGATCTTCTGGGTGGGGCCACTGGACTCCCAGCTGCCTCCACCCCCACTCTGAGCCTTGGGCAGCCCTGCCCTAGGGAAGTTGCCACAGCCCCGTGGCCCGTCCCACAGGCGGGTGGCACCACGGCCACCCCCTCCTTTGCCTGCTCTCAGGTCCCCAGGGCCAGGGGACCAAGGAAACAGCTCCCAGGCTCCCTTCCCCACAGCCTCGCAGAGAGCTTCCCGGGGGACAGCCCAGGTGCGCCTGCCCTCCCCGCCCCCCCGGAGCACTGCCCACCAACACGCCCCGAACAGCAGGCAGCAAGACACACAGGAGCCCCCCCGACAGCCCCGGCCCCAGAGGAGCTGGCCAGGAGTCACTGGGCCCTGTTCTTCCACACTGCTCAGGACGCTTGCGCAGTGAGGGCCATGGAGGTCACAGCCGCAGCCACTAGGTTGGGGGGCAGGGGGGTGCTATCATGAAAGTCTGCTCCCCAGGCTCTGTGGCTCTGGCACCGTCCGGCTGCGGCCTCAGACAGCTACTGATCCGAGCCTCAGGTTCGCCCTGGCAGAGCCCCACCAGGGCTGTTGTGCGGTGAGCGGCAGTGGCCCCGGCACGGGGGGGACCCTGCTTCGGGAGCCGCGGCTGTGCATCGGCACGTGCGCCCGCCTCCCGGGCCCCACTGGCCGGGGACAAGCTCAAAGCTCAGCCACTCGAGACACGTGCCCCGGCATCATGTGGCCCGGGGAACCAACATGCCGGGGGGGGCGGGTGTGCAGGTGTATGAAGCAAGGCCTCCCGGCAAGGGGCTCCACACTCCCAGTCCAGGCCCACCCCACACCACCCACCTCCCTCTCCCAGCAGCAGTGCTACCAGAGCCCCGAGGCCCTCACCACGACTGTGATGCCATCCTTCTCCAGAGGGGCCTTGTCGTAGGTCACTTCGCACACTCGCACCACAGTGGTGGCCCCGTACTTCTTCAGGTCCTGGCGGGGAGGGAGGACGAAGGCAGGCTGGGCTGGGGCTGAGGGCACAGGGCCGTGCCCCCTCAACGAAACCGAAAGGCCGATACCAAGCGGAACCACCAGGGGCAGGCTTTCGGGCCCAACGACTCACTACGGGGGGGAAGGAGCCTTCCTGATGCTTCCGGGCAGGCTGTCCCCACCTGCTCTCACTGCAGTGTGGCTAGCCTGCCATGAGCCCAGCTTCCAGCACATTCCCACCCTCATCCCGGGTGCTCAGGATCCCCCATGGCACCAGCATCTTCCAGACAAAGCAGGGGCAGGACACCATGGCCTGAGCTGCCCTCCTGGCCAGGGTCTCATGGATGGGTCTCACTGAGGGCATAGCTGGACCCCACATGAGGGCCTGCAGAAGCTCGAGGGGCAGGCACCTGCTCAGATGGAGACGGGAGGGAGCCAGGCCCTGCACACTGGCGGGGAAGCCCCGGGCTACCAGAGAAAAGGTCAAGGCAGTTCATAGCCAGGCTGTTTATATTTATCCTCTAAGTGGGGGGTCCACTCCACAGGAGCCCATGCTGGGGCTGCTCCCACCCCACCTGCTCCACCAGCTATTCTGGGAGTGTGAGCAATCATCTGCTGGACCCTGCTCGTCATGCGATGGGGACACCGGACACAATGAGGGCGGGACACCGCGATGCTGAGAATGCAGTGCACAGGAAAGCGGGCGGGGTTCTGAGGCCGCAGGGTCACCTCAGAAGTCCTCTGTGCATGTAGCGAAAGGGGAAGCCACCCGGCCCAGGGCTGAGCCCTGACCCTCAACACAGACTCACCTTGACCCTGGTCATATGTTAAGCCCTGATCCTCATCACACACTGAGCCCTGATCCCGGTCAAACGCTGAGCCCTGACCC